GGAGTTTTGTTGACAGGGCTGGGTGGCATTGGCCTTTCTGGGCCAACCCCAAGTGGAGCATCAGGCCAACTTCCCCCACCTCACCTACATGCTTGAGACTCCCCCTACCCCAGTGGCCCAGGAGGAAGAGAGAGGCAGAAGGTGGGAAGAGCCCAGCTAGTAGAATCCCACCTGCTGCATGAGCCTGGGCTTATCACTGCCCACTGTGATGGGCCCTGATGGCTAGCCTTTCTTTTCCTGGCCTCAGTCCCTGTAGCAGGGTAAGAGGGCCTCCCTAGCCAAGGGGCCAGGTCCAGCAGCTGTTCACCAACTTGGAGGCATGGCACAGTCCTCCCTGCCACTCCCCTTACAGGAAGGAAAGCAGGGAGACCCACAACTGAGCAGCTTGAGGCTCTCGCTCCTTCAGCTTAGCCAGGCCCTTGGTCATCTGTCCAGACTGATACACCCTCATCCCCTACCCCATCACTTCCACATCAGCCTCTCCTCCCAGCCCTGCACCACCAAACCCTTGGAGAAGCCAGCATCGGTTGTTTTGTTTCTTTTTGTTATTAATACAGCTCAGGTTGGCCTTGAACCCTCTTACGGAAACCAAGCTGAACTCAAACTCACTGTGGTCCTTCTGCCTCTCTTCCAAGTGCTGAGATTATAGGCAAGGGCCATCACACTCAGATCCAGCATACTGGGGCTCTGTTTTTAGCTTTTTTTTTTTTTTTTTTTTTTTTTTAATTTATCATTCTGGGGTGTGGGGGGGGGTGCGCACATGCACACAACACACTCCTGAGTATATGTAAATGTACATTTTATGATGCAGTATCCCAGAAGGCCAGAAGAGGGAGTTGGATCCTGTGGAACGGGGTTAGGGGAGGTTGTGAGCTGCTTGACCTTGATGGAGTGCTATGAAGCAGACCCTGGTCCTCATGATTGAGCAGCAAAGCTTGGGGGGGTCCCAGGATGGTTTTCATGATCCCTGAAAGGCAGACAATAACATGGTTATGTTATTGTCAGTTAGCATGTATTAAGTACCTGCTGTGGGCCTGGACGTATGCTGAATCAACTTGAACTATCTCCCAGTCTGCCTCAGCCCCAAAATGAGTTCTTTAATGTGCATGGGAGGAGGCGAGGTTCATGGGGTCCAAGGCAACACAGCAGAGGCAGAGCTGGGGTTTGGATTTGATGTGTGCATGTAATCATGTCTTCGGTCAGTTTAACCCAGCCTGAGGCCACATCAGGGCCTCGAGTGCATTGCAGACATATATATTTTAGGGCCTCTGGGGAATGGTCACCTTCTCCAGAGCCACCTCTCACCCTGGCACCAGGCTTCTGGCTCTGTGTCAGTCACCTGGCTTGAGGATTGATTATTTTTTGGAACTGTAGCCAGCCCCTGCATTGTCCCCCAGGGGCTGGAGTCTGCCTGGGTTGGAGCCTAGCCCTAGTAATTGATTGACCTTTGATTGATGTAGGCTGTGGTTGGGGCCTGGTCTGGCCCAGCCTGAAGCTGCCAGAAACCAGGGAATCCACAGCCCAACTTGGCATCCAAGTTTAGATATGGTGTTGTTCCTTTAGACTGAGTTATTCTGGCTTTGAGAGAAACATAGACCTTTGAGTGTAGGTCCAGCTAGGGACCCAGAAAAACAAGGGACATGCAACTCCCAAGCTGGAGTCTGAATCCCCCCAAGCTAGTACCCTCCTCAGTGATCCTTCCTTCCCAATCCTGCCCTGCTGTAACTGCTGAGCATATAAAACTGAAGTGCCTGGTACATAGTGGTTACTTGGCGAGATAACTAAATCTCGCGGTGATAGCTGCCATGCATGGCTAGCTACTCCTTGTGTGGACTCTTTGCTGTGGGTTTGGCCTCTATGAGCCCAGGCAGGTCTCCGAGTAACCAAGAGACACCATGACATCTGGGTTTCTCAACTACAATCCAGTGACATTAGAACCCCTGATGTTTAGTTTTGATTGTCAGCTTGACACAATTTAGAATCCCCCGAAAGTGGACCTCAATGAGGGATTGTCTGCATCAGGTTGGCCTATGGGCCTGTGTGTGGGGGGTTGTATTATGGTAATTGGTATGAGAAGACCAACTGTAGGAGTGGACAGCACCATTCCCTGGGTTTGGGTTTTTAATTATGTAACAGCATTATCCTAGTTTCCTCCCTGTACTGTGATAAAGCACTTGAACCAAAAGCAATCTGGGGAGAAGAGGGTTTGTTTGGCTTATACCTCATTGTCATAGACCATCATTGGGAGAAGGCAGGACAGGAACTCATGTAGGAACTTGGAGCCGAAACCATAGAGGAATGCTGCTGCCCTCTGGCTGGTGCTCAGCTAGCTTCCCTATACAGCCCAGGACCACCAGCCCAGGGAATGGGGCCACCCACAGTGGGCCTGGGCCCTCCTACATCAATTAACCCTCGAGGTAATCCTCTACAGCAAGACCTGCAGGCCAGTCTGATCTGAGCAAACCCTTAATTGAGGTTCCCTTCTCAGATGACTCTAGGCCACGTCAAGTTAACAATCAGGGCTAACTAGGACAAGTAAGGGAAGCACACAGAGAGTAGGGTACCTTCATTCACTCTGCCGTGGTGAGTGTGATGTGACCAGTTGCTTCAGGCCCTGCCTTGACTTCCCCAGCCATCATGACCGGGACCTGGAATTGGGAGTAAAACGAGCCCTTTCTCTCCAAGCTGCTTTCTGTCAGGGTATTTTAGCCGAGCCTCAGGAAAGAGACTTAAATAGGACCAGACCATTCTCCTGTAGGGGGCTGTCCTGGATGCTGTAGGCATCTTCCTTGGTGTTTGCTCAGGGGCACCCATGACTCCCAGTTAAGACAGCCAAGAATGGGTCCAGATGTTACCAGATGTCCCTTAAAGGACACACACGTTCTGCATTGTGCTGAGGGGGAGCCCAGGCAGTCTGATGTCAGAACTGTGAGATGCCATCTCTGACCTTCACTGGGATCCAAGTTCAGGGAGTAGGGGATTTTGTGCAAAGGGGCACAGAGGAGAGGCATCCCTGTGTCTTGCCTTGGGAAAGGCAAGCCCCTCACCAGGCCCTCCGTCGTCAAAGGCATGCAGCAGGTACCGGCCCTCCACCACCCGCAGACATACTGCAGTGACAGGAGAGGTGTCCTGTCACCTCGAAGGCCCTTGCCTACCTCCTTGACATCCCACCACACCCTCTCACACTTGTCCCCACCCCAGCAGTCCCTCTGCCCTCAGGGCCCACTTTGCCTGCCTGTCCCCACCCAGCCCTCTCACTCAGTAGGGAACCCGCGGTCCCAAGTCCCATGCTTGCGCTTCATGACTTCCAAGGCCTGACTCACTCAAGCATGAACTATTTATACGCCTCACACGGATGCTCGCATTGGCACTCCCGGCAGACGCTGTTCTGCAGGTGGCCACAGGATGCAGGAGGAGGAGGCTGGGCACAGACAGATTGATAAAGGCATCAGCCTAACAGATCTGGGATGTTAGCCCAGCTCCTTCCTTATTGCTTTGTGACCTTGGGCAGGTCAGTTAGCCTCTCTGGGCCTCTGGTTATAAAGAGTGTTAAAGTAAGCAATAAAGCTCCCATGCAAAGACAGTTTTCAATTTTGGGGCTGTTAGATGTCTAAAGTCAGGTGCTGCTGTATCCAACTGCAGAGAAGTAAAGAGGAACCCACAGATAAACAGGAAGGCACCCAGTGTCCATAATTAGTGTCAGAACTGTTGCCACTTGTCCATCTGAGAGTCCCGCCTGTCACTCTGAGGCCAGTCTCCCCAGGCTTCTACAGAAGACAGTCACCCTGACAAGGAGATCCCATGGGCCTACAGACAAAGCCATTGCTTGAGGTGTGGGTGGCACCTTTACCAACTAGAAGTGGGCTGGAGGCCACCTCTGGCCACTGGCAACACAAGGAATGTGGCCATAGGAGAGTGATATTTAGGCCTTACTGTCACCGATCCCTGTCTCCACCAGGCTGTTGATGGCAAAGAAGGAAAGGGCAGATACAGGCCTGTTATCAGCTGGCTCTGTGCCAGGCTGCCCAGCACCCCTGCCACTCCCCACAGGCTCCCAGAACAGCCTGTTCCTGGACACACCCAGGTCCTCTGCCCTGCTGTGACCATGGCCTTGCCTCCGCCTCTCTCCCAGGCACAATGCTCCAAGAAGGCTGCTAAGACTCTTGGCTCCGAATTCATTCCCGAGTCACTTAGTCAGCAGACTAAGCACCTAATAGGTGCTTTTTACTCTTTCTCCTGGAACCTAGCATGAGCTGGGGCAGGACGTCAGATCCCCATGTGGAGGGCGCCGTGTGAAAGGAACCGCTGGTCTCATGTGAAGGGATGTGGCTTAGTGGTGGAGTGGAAGGTGTACCACAGAAACACATAAATGGCGGGGCGTGACAATGCGTGCCTATAGTCACAACATGTGGGAGCAGAGAGAGGGTGATTGCTACAAGTGCACGGGAGCCTGGGCTACATAGCGACTTCCAGCACAACCGGGGCTGCACACTGAGACTCGGGCAATCACGTAAGAGACCAGCTTCCACACCCATGCTAACCTCTGACCACTGGGATTTTGCCTCTCCCCCGACACGCGTGGTGCACGCGCACACACACACACACACGCACACACACACACACACACACACACACACACACACCAGTTGGCAGTGTTTGGGAGACATTTGGCTGTCACAGCCCAGGAGCTACTTCTATGAACATCCCACAGTGCACAGAGCAGCCCCCACAGTGAAGAGCATCTCAGCCTCAGCTCACAAGGGTCTACTGCCTAGCTGGAGCCACAGGCATGATGGGAGTTCTTTCTGCTTGTTCATACCACACACGGGACAGGAGGCTACGGCTTCCTCCCTCACGCCCCACGTTTGTGTAAGAATCAGCATTGTTGAAAATAGAGGATGTTGCCTGACCATGTGGTGAGGTCCCTTGCAGCTATAATAGGAGGACGTGGTCATACAGGAGGCACATCAGGGTATCCTCAAGCCTCTCTATGTCCACAGGTATGATGCCGGCAGGGATGGCTTCATCGACCTGATGGAATTGAAACTCATGATGGAGAAACTAGGGGCCCCTCAGACTCACCTGGGCCTGAAGAGCATGATCAATGAAGTGGATGAGGATTTTGACAGCAAACTCAGCTTCCGGGAGGTGAGCCCATCCCCGGGCTGCTCCCCAGCCCGCCACACCTGAGCAGTGGGTGGCCTTTGGCACTGAGTGACATGGTCTTTGGCCATACAGCTGTGAGTAACTGATAGGTGTGTGAGGCTTGCTGGGGCATTCTTAGCAGGTGTCCTCCTGCCTCCGCCTTCCCTGTGCCGGGATGATAGGTGTAAGCCACCACAACCGGCTGTGTTTAATGATTTCTCTATGCCCAGCTGAGTTGTGGGAAAGGCTGGGGGGGGGGGCAGGTTTAGAAGGGAAGGAACCTGAATGAGGATTGATTTACACAGTGCTTGGCTCAGAGCGAGTGATGCGCACGGCCGAGGGGACTGGGCATGATGTGAAGCAGCTTCACATTGTCTGAGGCAGAAGCTATGGGCCAGCCTATTTAAGGACTGGCAGGAGGAAGGAAGGCCCAAAGTGTAACAGCTGTGGTTCTAGGCCCTAAACAGCATGGGGTTGCCTGTGTGGGGAGGTAGGTGCTTGGGAAGTCTGGCCTTTACAGAGCCGACAGGAGGTAGGGGAGAGAGGCAGTATCAAGGGCATCTTGGGGTGTGGGAGGTGACAAGAGGCCAGGGAAGGATGTCAGAATGGTCCATGGGAATGGCTTGGGGTCAGAGAGCACCTATGCCCATCCTTCCAGTACTTAAGCCTTTTGCCATCTCCAAACCATCTTCATACTGTAGAATGGGAGCAAGGTTCCTGGGGGCTTTGTGAGTGGGATGTACTGCAGATTTGTGTGGGAGAACAGTAGGCGGCAAAGAAGAGAGGCAGGCTGAAGCTGTGGGTGGGAGCTGGGTGTGGTCCTTAGCCCAGGGTCCTAGCAGGGCACACCAGGAACATAGGGGCTGAAGCCTGGCTCTGGCTCCCACTCCTGCAGGTGAACACATAGCCTTTCTACGGGGAGACCTGAGCAGAGGCTTGGGTGTGGCCAGGGACTTTGTTCCGGTTGTGCCTTGCTGACCTGTGTCTTCCCTCCACAGTTCCTACTGATCTTCCGCAAAGCAGCGGCAGGGGAGTTGCAGGAAGACAGCGGCTTGCACGTCCTGGCCCGCCTCTCTGAGATCGATGTCTCCACAGAGGGCGTTAAGGGTGCCAAGAACTTCTTCGAGGCCAAGGTGAGGAGCCAAGGATCGTGTGATGACGCAGCTTAGATTGAGGACTGGCGTAGACCTCCCTGTCACTGTTCAGGCTGCATGGGAGAGGTGGAGCAGACTCTGTGGGGTGTGCAGGGTGATGGGGCTCTTAAAGAGGCAGCCAGCCAGCATTGCTCCCTAGAGACCCCATCCGTCAGCCCTACCCTGGAGGAAGCTGAGGAAGCTTAGACCTCATCTGTATGTACAGCCTCCTGTACATGTGGGAGAGGGGAACGGCACATTTGGTCCAGTGGCTCCTGAGTCCTGCCCACCTAGCCACCCCCTCACCTTTCCTTATTCCTCTTTTCCAAACTAAGACCTTTGCCTCCCAAGGCTGCTCCCCTCCGCTCTCTCTTCCAACCTTGATGGAGATACCGGGGTTCATTAGTGGACCTGTATGCTTTACCTTAGGACAGGACATCAAGGGCAATCATTCCTGCCTGCAGAGCCCTGCACCGTCCCTCATTCTCCTCTCTTTTTCTCTGTCTCTGAGAGAGATGGTCTCATATAACCCAGGCTGGCCTTAAACTTCTGCTCCTCCTGCCTCTGTCTGTCTCCCCTGTATGGTAGGATCACAAGTGTTCAGTACCATGCCCCTTTTTTTGAAGTACAGCTCAAACCCAGGATGTCATGCGTGCTAGGCAAGCACTTTACCAGCTGGACCCTGTCCAGTGCATTATTTTAATCTTCCTGCACGAGCACCCGTGGTCAGTTACTGTGTACCAGGTTCTACAGAGAGACTGAGGCACAGAGGGCTGACTGTGGCTCACAAGGACCACTGTTGGTGAGCGCGGGCCAGAAGGTGATACGGAGGCCGCATCCCTGACCTGTCACCCTCGCTCCCAGGTACAGGCTATCAACGTGTCCAGCCGATTTGAGGAGGAGATCAAAGCCGAGCAAGAGGAAAGGAAGAAGCAGGCTGAGGAGGTGAAACAGCGGAAAGCGGCCTTCAAGGAACTGCAGTCCACCTTCAAGTAGCCAGGGCCAAGGCCGAGACCAGGCCTTGCCCAGTGTGCAGTCTGGGGGCACGGGTGGGTACAGGAGACCTGTGGGAGACAAACTGAGTCCTGGCCTGTGTGAGCTAGGACCACTACTGAAATCTAAACCGGCTGTGAACGGATCTCATGCAGGAGTCTCCCCAGGAGCCGGGCCAGTCCCTGTTCCTTCCCGCTGTTCCTGAGGCTGTGACACCAGCCACCAGCATCCTCTCGCTGGCCACCCTGCTGCCTCTGCTCTAGCCCAGTGCCAGCCCATTCACCATGCCCCTGCCTTGTATACCAGCTACTTTCTCCACCCACATACCCTTAACCATAGGCCACCCTGCCCTGGGCCTGATGGCCCCTTTCTAGATAGGAACCAGCAGAGAGAAAGAGAGAGTCCCCTCCCCAGGACTCTTCCATTCAGATCAGCCCCTCTGCTGGGTGTGAAGGGACTCCTGTTTTGATGAAGAGACCCAGCCCCTAGCACCCTAGGCTGATACAAATGGGACTAGAAATGGGGGGACTACTATTTTGGTGAAGAGACCCAGGCCCTAACACTCTAGGCTGATATAAATGGGGCCCAGCCAGGCAGGGTGAAGGCCACTGAATCTACCTCACAGGCTACACTCTGCTAGGCATGCCATGGGGGCGTGAGTGATAGGGCTGGGGTGGGGGAGGACAGATACGTCACTTTCTGACACCCTACCCCCCAGAACAAGGGTCCCAAGGGGCTGTGAGAGGGGTGGGGTGCCAAGGGGTTGTCCTTCCGGGGGAGAACCTCAGCACTCAGCCTTGCTTCTCTGGGGAGTGCCTGATGTGTTTGTGTGTACTGCAGTAGGACACGGGGCCACCGGTAACCCTTTTACATTCTCCTTCCCTGGATCTGTCACCAGTGGGAGCGCCTGCCTGTCATGCCCACCCCTAGAACGCATGGGGGGTCCCCCAAACCCATCCATCACCAGGCAGGCCATAGTGAAACCTGTGCCATTCCTCCATAGTTCCCATGTGCTTGCTCACGTGTGTGTGTGTGTTTGTGTGTGTATCTGTTGCTGTGTTGTGAAACCGTGACGTCACCCAGTCTAAGTGAATGGCCACAGAGGCCGCTGTTATGCAACCTTCGTTCAGTGTGTCACTGCTTTTGAAACTCGATAACTCTTTATTTTACTACAGTGCCCCAAGAGTCCCCAGTTCCCCCCTGTGGGACTTAGAAAGGTTTTATTTTTTCGATCTTAAAACCCATGAGAATTGGAGGGACCGAGCCCAGCCCAGCCCAGCTCAGCAGCTGTGGCCCAGGCTTGTGTTTGCCTTAGTGGATATGTTTATACAGATAAATATAAATTCCCTTTACTTCTGGCTTTTTGCTTTTTTTTTTTTTTTTTTTTTTTTTTGTCCTCCCTCTCACCACCTCCTCCCCTCCAAAAAAGAAATGAAAACAGCTACTTCTTCATTCAGTGGTACGATTATTTTTTTTAACTAAAATGAGATAAAATTCTATATTCTTATGTGTGTGTGGTTTTTGATGGCTAACTGAAGAGGGCAGGGGATGGGACAAGGATAAGGTCACTGGTTTTGGGCAGTCACGTCAGGAGACTGGGGAGGAGGAAAACACTGCTGGCCTAGACACAACATATATTAAACTCACCTCATTCTGAAAGGAGCCACTGAAGGGCCACTGTCTTTTAATCCCCTTTTAAAGGAAAGAAGGGGGGGGGGGCTGGAGAGATGGCTCAGAGGTTAAGCGCACTGGCTGCTCTTCCAGAGGTCCTGAGTTCAATTCCCAGCAACCACATGGTGGCTCGCATCCATCTGTAGTGAGATCTGATGCCCTCTTCTGGCATGAAGATGTACATGCAGAAAGAGCATAGATAAGTAAATCTTAGATAAGTAAATCTTAAAGAAAAAGAGTAGGGAGACCTGAAGGTACCAGCCACACAGACCAATTGGGGCAGCAGGATTCTGCCCAAGGTGGCTAGCCAGAGGTAGGGCTGTGCCACCTGACCCCAAAATGATGGCCAGAGCCAGATGTGTGCATGCCTGTCATCCCAGCCTTCTAGAGCCTGAGGTGAGAGAAAGGAGTGTTCAAGCCTAGTTGGGATGAGCTACACTGCAAGACCCTGTCTAAAGAAACCGTAACAAAATGCTACAGAGGTTCTGACTCAGTGAGCCCCCATGATACAAATACCCTCTGTGTCTCTGGAGTGGGGGAATGGCTGCAGTGGTAGCATCAGCAGTTGCCTGTGTGGTACCCATGGCATCCCGGTCTGCCGGCCAGGTGGGTAGAACTGGGGTCTTTCCAAACTTGTGGTTACAGACACAGCCTTAACAGAGTGGGGAAAGTTTCTGATTTGTATGGGCGTTTCTGCCCTCGTGTGGCCATGAGTGGAACTGCAGTGTTAGGTGCCCCCCATTGCTCTTTTCTCACAGTCCTGTCTGGGAAAGGCAAGAATCTGGGGCATAAACCCCGGGGTACACCACTCCTCACATGCTACCCAATGCGGGACAAACCACCAACACTAACAACATTTTAGTCTAGGTTCTCCTTTCAGTGTCCCTTTGTAGGGATCCCTGCAAGCGTCACAGCCAGCCGGGATACTAAAAAAGAAAGTTGGGACCTGGCAGCGATGGTTTACGGTTTTAATTCCAGCACTCATGCAGCAGAGGCAGGCAGACCTCTGAGTTTGAGGTCAGTCTGCCTGGTCAACAGAGTGAGTTTTAGGACAGGCTCCAAAGCTACACAGAGAAACCCTGTTTTGAAAAGAAGGAAGGAAGGGAAGGAAGTTGGGTCAGTGCAACTGAGGCAGTTCTGGGTCAAGACTTCTGGAGTCTGATGCCAGGGAATTTATTTTTCACATATATAAATACTGTAAAGCAACGTTCCGGTGACTTTTGCTATTGACTGAGACAGTGTTCAGGAGGCAGTCTAGGTGATCCGGCTTGATGAGGGCTGGCTTTACAGAGTGGCTGAGATCACCAGGTATTAACACACAAAGTGCTCACAGCCTCCAGGGTGGAAAACAGGTGCCAGGTCTTCCCTTGAAGGAAAAAGCCTTGCTTTCAGAATTGCTCAACAACCCTGGGTTTTCTAATGCTTATCTGTGAGCTCTTGTACTAAGGATTCCCTAACTCGCTAGAGCAGTGGTTCTCAACCTTCCTAATGCTGAGACCCTTTAATACAGTTCTTCATGTTGTGGTGACCCCCAACCATCAAATTTTGTTGCTACTTAACTAATTTTGCTACTGTTACGAATCCTAATGTAAACATCTGATATGCCTGTGAAAGGGTCTTTTGACCCAAAGGTCACGCGGCCCCACAGGTTGAGAACCACTGTGCTAATGAGACAGACTAGGGAGGAGGGAGGAGATTGAAAGGGACCGGCTTCCTTCCATTCAGGCTGCAACTGGCCTGGCGATGAGTGTGGGCTCAGCCCTCAGACTCCAAGACCAACGAAGAGACTGACTCTTGGCTGCCAGAGACTCAGCTGTTGGGGGCCTCAACTTAGCCTGCCAAGACCCCACTGACCCACAGCAGAGCCCTGCAGAGAAAGCCAGCTGAGAAATGAGGAGGCCTCAAGTGGCCCAGTTCGCTAGGGCATGGTGTGCTGGCAGCACTGGGGAGGTAGAGGCCAGAGGGTCAGGACCATAAAACCAACCTGGGTTCCAGCCCCACAAGGTGGGAGGAGAGCACCAGCTCCGCCAAGTGGTCCCCTGACCCCCACATGTGCGTCCTGGCATGTGTGTGCACACGTAAACACTTAAACACGTAATTTTAAGGTTTTTTTCTTTTTATTCCAAACAAATGAAAAACTTCTCCAGGCCCCTTCTTCTCATTGACCCTCTTTACCAGATCCCAGCCGCTCAAATCTCCATTGCCCTCCCGGACCCTCCACTGGACTTGGGTTTGGTTTTTTGTTTTTTTTTTTTAAGACATAGCGTCTCACCAAGTAGCCCTGGGTAGCCTGGAAATCTCTGTGTACACCAGGCTGGCCTCAAACTCTTGAGATCTACCTGCCTCACTCTCCTGAGTGCTGGGATTGGAAGTATGCACCACCCCACCCCACTCTACCTCGCTGATCTCACGCCCTTCAGTGGACCCCACCCCCCCAAGCTCTCTCTGAAGCCGCAATTCTTCCCTGTGGTGTTTGAGGCAAAACCTCAGCAGCCCTCCAACCTCCTCCACTTAGCGACCCTCACTCAAGAGGCAGCAGCTGCCACCAAGTCTTGTGGAAGAAGGCAGCCAGAGAATCCAGGCCCCTGTCACTAGCACCTGTCCGTTTCTCAGGCTCTCACTCCACCGTTCCCCCACCACCTTCTCTAGAGGCCACAGGGCATCATCTGGCCACACCCCAGCACGCCCACACATCTTTAGTGGTTACTTTGCCATTACAGCCCTGACACCCTGAGAGTCACACCGTGGATGGGCCCTGGAAATCAGGGACAGGGTGGGGAACAGCGGAGGGCTGTGACATTCCCAGCACCTCACCTCCAGTTCTCCAGCTCATTCTGAACAAGGGATGAACAGAGAAGAAACCCCAGCTGCAACCCATCCATCCAGCCCGCACTTAGGATGCATCTCATCTCCTACAGAGCTCCAGCAACGGTTCTCTTCTCCAGGGAACACATCACCCTGGCTGATAGGGAGTGCCCTGCTGTACACAGAGCATACATATAGCCGGTGCTTAATAAATCTCGGGTCATGAATGAATTAATTCATGTGATATATATATATATATCCAAATAAAACACACATCTGGAAACAGACTACAGTGTCAAGTCCTATCCCACAGTCACAGGAAAGCCACCAGCCCCCCACGACAGCTTTTGCAGTCTGTCAGCCTACCCAGTATCACGGTATGGGCCAAAGCTAATGGCATCCTCTGCCCAGCTACTCTCTACACCAGAGCCAGGGACCAGAGTGCCAAAGTGGCTCCTGCCCACCCCACCAGCTGCTCTTGAGAAACGGTTGCTCATAGGCACACTAAAGACATCCAAGGGCAATGCCAAGGCCCTTGAGAGGCCCAAGAAAACACTTTTTATTTCTTTAAAATCAACAGGAAACGGAGCTGGAGAGATGGCTCGGTGGCTGAGAGCACTTGCTGCTTTTGCAGAGGACCCGAATTTGGTTTCCAGCACTGACACAGCAGCTCACAAACACCTCTAACTCCAGTTCCAGGAGATCTGATGTCCTCTCCTGGCACCAGGATCACACATGATGTACAGATATACATGTAGACAAACATACACATAAAATTATCCTTACATTTAAGATAATGATATAATAATTAATAATAAAATCTGCAGAAAAACATACAAATCCAGTTATAGTCATCTGCAAGGACAGCCCTGGAGTTTAGATCGATATTCTGATGGGAGATAGAGAGGCCCTGTGAATTCACTCCACCTTGGAAACCCCATACTTCTAGCCAACCACATCTCCTGCCCAAATTAAACAGTAATTACCAAGGTCAGGAAAAGGCCTTGTCAGGACAGGTTTGTCCCCAGGCTGAGCTCAGCCTTGAATCCTGTGCCCTCACCTGCCCCCCCCATGCCTATAAATGCCTAGCCTGCCTCCACACCAGCCATTCCTGAGCGCCTGACCATGTTGGGAATTACAGTCCTCGCCGCCACGGCCATCGTGGCCTGCGGTAAGCTTGGGAGTGGGGACAAGCTGCATCCAGCGGGCTGTAAGATCAAGCTGGCCTTGGGGTGTCCTCTGCTCCCCAAGAAAGGCGCTTTGGGGTCCTTTGTGGGTTCAGCTACTGAGCAGCTGTGTGTCGGTTAAGCCACTACCAAACTAGTAGGTCCTGGAGAGGGGATGAAGAGCAAGCCCTAGAGAGTGGAGTGAGGCTTAGACGGAGGCCCTGAGCAAGGCCCACAGTAGGTGCTTCACACTGCTGTGTTCACTCCAGGGGTCCACTGGGCCTGCCTTTCCCAGCTGTGTCTCCCTCTGGAGGGCTCCTTTGCCCTGGTGCTCTCCCAGATTACAAACTGAGGGGTTCAACAGGGTTTGGTTTTGGCGAGTGAGAGCACCTGATCAGGGATCGAGCTGGGCTCTCAAGTTGCAGGAGCAAACTGGACCGCATACAAGTATTAGGTTTGCCCATATCCCCATTCAACAGTGGGGACACAGAGGCCCAGTGATGCTCAGTACCCTGCCTCAGGGTCACATGCTGCCTAACAGCCAGAACTCCAGCCCCATCTGCCCCACCTCAGGACACACACTCCTAACCACGTCGCACGATTTCCGAGACATGACAGTGTGGTCCGCAATGAATGCTCCCCCATAGGCACACTGTGCTGAGACCCACAAGAGGCATCTTCTTCAGTTCCTCATGGCTGCCAGTCACCTGCCTGTTCCTTCCACTCCATGAAGCATCCTTCCTTCCTCCTCCTGTGTGGGTTTTCAAATGTGTCAGGAGACTTGGATTAGTGTTATTCTTCCCAGCTCTCTCTGTCTCTGTCTCTCTGTATCTCTCTGTCTCTCTCTCTCACACACACACACACA